CTCAACTCTGGAAGTGGGTCTGAAATGTCGGGGGCAGTGGGGATGGAGGCTGAGGCCTGACAGGCACTCCCACCCCATTCCCCACTCCATAGCCTCGCTCCAGATCAGTTGCATTTTTGCCAAGACAAGCAGCTTGCAGATCACCTCGTAGCATCCCATCCCGTCACAGCAGGGCGCTCCCCTGGCTCCCTCGCTCCCTTCCCTCCGCTCTCTGCTGCTCCCTGCAGGTCCCTTCCACTGCGGAATGTCTCTCTCCAGAGCCTGAGCCTCTCCCCTTTGTCTGGGTGCCTTCCTGTCCTTATTTCTGTCTCTCCATGTGGGCTGTGTGTCTGATTCTCTGCCCACTCTCTCCTTCTCACAGCTGGTGGGCCACAAAGACAGAAGGAGGAGGGCTGGCATACCCTCCAGTTTAACGAGTGTCTTTTCTGAGGGAGTCTCGTTATTCCCCTCCAAAGTGGAGGTGAAGTTAGCAGGATGGAGGGCTAAATATTTGTGCCAGGGGAAGGCACAGGCCTGCAGGAGGCGGGGTGCTGTGACTGCCCCACGCTGTGAGAGCGAAGCACCATGCACAGACAAGTCCCTGTGACCTGGAATGGAACCACTGACACATTTGGGAATTAAGTGGCTGAGCCCTACGTCCAGCCCCGAAGATGGAGCCGTGTAGTGCAGCCCCCTTCCCTCACCCGATGAAGCACAGCTCCCTTCGGCATTGGTTAATTCCATAACTGTTTCCTGAGCACTTGCTATGTGCCAGGCATAGGGCCAGGTGCAGGAGGCACCAGGAGGCATCAGAGAGCCCTCCTGGCTCCTGTTCCCTGGGTCTTGCCTACAAATGAGAGAGGAACCTGGCAGAGCCACCTGCTGGCCAAGGCAGTCCTCCCCAAACCACACCCCATCAGAGGCGCCAGCATTGGAGCGGTCACCCGGTCCGGCTCCTCTTCCAGAGGCCCAGAAAGGTGGCATGATTGGGGGGGTCTAGTCTCCAAACCAGGACTCTGACCATCAATCCACCCTCCTTCCCAAGGCCGCTCCAATCCCATCGCTTCAGGAGCAGAACTTTTCAAACTGCAGCCACAACGGTTAGGAAGTTGTCACACCCACGGGGCGGGGCGAGGCTGTGGCCAGCATTTAGATGAACTGGGTGGGAGAGGATGCCACAGGGAAGGTGAGAGCACGTGGCCTGCAGGTGGCAGGAAGCGCCAGCGACTGCAAGGCCCTGTGGAGTACGACTGGGGGCCGCAGCTGGGAGGGCAGGTCCCCAAAAACTGGCCCCCAGGGGCTCCATGCGCCCTTCTTCGCTCTGTGGCTGGGCGTGTGTGTGGGGCTCCTCTGGCCCTTCCCTGGGGGTCAGCAGCTGGGGGACGCTGGGGTCAGAGTGTGAGTTCTGGTAAAGCGCTGGGCTCCCCTAAGCCCTGCTTTTCTCACCTTTGAAATAGGAAGAGCAGCACACACCTCACAGGTGAGGGCATGCCTGACAGCACAGGAGGGAAGCGCTGGCCCCGGCTTCAGTGAATATTCAGGGAATATAGCCTCCACCCTCCTTAAGCTGCAGTCAGCACTCCAGGAGAGTCCTCTATCCAGTGCAGACATATTGTGTTTACAAACTATGTCCTGCCTACTTTCAAATGCTGTGAGGTGGGCTACCACAAAAAATGTAAATGTACTTATCCTATCTAATAAAACAGTAATATGCAAATTGACCATCACTCCCCCACTCCATCACTCCTTCACTCTGTCACAAAGATGGCGGCGGCCACGGAGGTGGGCAAGCAGGAGGCTTGGGTTGACCCTGGCGATGGAGGAAGCCAAGCTGGCCCTCAGCTCCACTCAAGGCTACAAAGTTTCAATTATAGAAGATAAATAAATCCCAGATACCTGCTTCTAGCCCGTGGCCATGGCCAGCCTGAAAAAGGTCCTCAGCCCCTCACCAGCTTAGGCCTGCTCCCAGCTGGCAAGTAGACATCCCCCGAGGGCTCCCGGGCTGCCAGAGGGATGTCTGACTGCCAGCTTAGGCCCGATCCCCCCAGGGAGTGGGCCTAAGCCAGCAGGTGGACATCCCCTGAGGGGGCCCAGGCTGTGAGAGGGCACAGGCCAGGCTGAGGGACCCCCCTTCCCACAAGTGCACAAATTTTTATGCACTGGGCCTCTGGTTTATATATATAAAAGGCTAAGCGACAATTAGGACTGAACAACCAAACGACCAGTCGACCAGTCGACCAGTCACTATGGCACGCACTGACCACCAGGGGGCAGATGCTCAATGCAGGAGCTGCCCCCTCGTGGTCAGTGCACTCCGACAGCCAACTTCCTGCAGCCAGCCAACCTCCCATGGCCCCTCCCTCCCTTGATCACCAGCCTCGATTGCCAGTCAGGCTGAGGGACCCCATCTGTGCACAAATTTGTGCATCAGGTCTCTAGTAAATAGATAAAATAGAATCTTAAGAAATACTTAGAGATAGGAGGAAAATATAAAAGCTCCACAATCCAACCTAATCTAATGAAATCGAAGCAAATCTAATCATTATTATGGTTGAGCATCAGATTTCATCTATGAGCTTCCTAGCAGCAAAGGCAAAGAAAGAGGCGGGGGG